AAATTAATTAATGGATTTAAGCAAAGATAAATTACTTCAAAAATCACAAAACGAGAAACAACGAGGCAGGTTGCCTTCTGATAGACATACACACCGTTGCCTATGACGTAGTCCTTTGAACCTGAATCTGATCAAGCCTCTGTATCTATTGATCAATTTACAGAAAATACAAGAAATACAGAAAAGATGAAGGAATATATTAAATGACAATAAGAGGTGCAGTTGGCAAAACTCACACTGTGGAAATTATAGAACAAACAACTCAGTTTCTTGCACAAATAAATTATAAGGAAAATAAACAGAGATGGATACATTCGGACATAACATTACATAGTTTTTTAGACATTTTTTATTTATGGCTGACAATATTTTTAATTTTATTTATTTATGGGTGATGATTTTAAAATTGTAGTTATTTATTTATGGCTGCACTGGGTCTTTGCTGCAGCGTACAGGCTTTCCCTAGCCATGGCGAATGGGGGCTGTTCTCTCGTTGCTCTGCTCAGGCTTCTCCTTGTGTTGGCTTTTGTTTCGGAGTACAGGCTCAGTAGTTGTGGCTCACAGCTTCTAAAGCATGGGTTCAGTATCAGTAGCCCATGGGCTTAGTTCTGGCATGTGAAATATTTCTAGACTGGAGACTGAATCCATGTCCCCTGCATTAGCAGGATTCCCAACTGAACCACCAGGGTAGTCCCTAGACAATATCTTTCTTTTTTTTTTTAACTATTTGTGTTTTAGATTCTTTGTGTTGCTTTTATTCAGTCGATCAGTTGTGTCTGACTCTTTGTGACCCCATGGACTGCAGCACGCCAGGCCTCCCTGTCCCTTGCCATCTCCTGGAATTTGCCCAAGTTCATGTTCATTGTGTTAGTGATGCTGTCCAGCCAGCACATCCTGTGACGCCCTCTTATCCTTCTGCCTTCAATCTTTCCCATAATCAGGGACTTTTCCAATGAGTCATCCGTTCACATCAGATGACCAAAATACTGGAGCTTCAACTTCAGCATCAGTTCTTCCAGTGAACATTCAGGATGGATATCCCTTAAGATTGACTGGTTTTATCTCCTTGCTGCCCAAGGAACCCTCAAGAGTCCTCTCCGGCACCACAGTTTGATGGCATCAATTCTTTGGCATTCTGCCTTCTTTATGGTCCAGCTTTCAAAACTGTACATGGCCATTGGGAAGACCATAGCCTTGAATATACAGACCTTTGTCAGCAAAGTAACATCTCTGTTTTTTAACATACTGTCTAGGTTTGTCATCACTTTCCTGCCAAGAAGCAATCATCTTCTGATTTTGTGGCTGCAGTCACTATCCACAGTATATTTTAGAGCCCCAGAAGAGGAAATCTGTCACTGCTTCCACCTTTTACCCTTCTATTTGCCATGCAGTGATGGGGCTGGATGTCATGATCTTAATTTTTTTAATATTTAGTTTTAAGCTGGCTCTTTCACTCTCCTCCTTCACCCTCATCAAGAGGCTCTTGCCATGATCTTACTTTTTTTAATATTTAGTTTTAAGCTGGCTCTTTCACTCTCCTCCTTCACCCTCATCAAGAGGCTGTTTAGTCCCTCTTCGCTTTCTGCCATTAGAGTGGGATTATCTGCATATCTAAGGTTGTTGATGTTCTTCCTGCCTATCTTGATTCCAGCTTGTAACTTGTCCAGCCTGGCATGTCTTGTGATGTGCTCAGCGTATAGGTTAAACAAACAGGGTGACAGCAGACAACTCTGTCATACTCTTTTCTCGATCTTTAACCAATCAGTTGTTCCATACAGGGTTCTAACTGTTGCTCCTTGACCTGCATACAGGTTTCTCAGGAGACAGATAAGATGGTCTGGTATTCCTGTCACTCTAAGAGCTTTTCACAGTCTGTCATGATCCACATAGTCAAAGGCTTTAGCATAGTCGATAAAACAGATAGATGTTTTTCAGAAATTCCCTTCCTTTCTCTATAATCCAGTGAATGTTGGCAATTTGATCTCTAGTTCCTTTTCCTTTTCTAAACCCAGGTTGGACATCTGGAAGTTCTTGATTCATGTAATGCTGAAGCCTAGCATGGAAAATTTTAAGTATGACCTTTCTAGCAGATGAGTGCAATTGTCTGATGGCTAGCACGTTCTTTGGTACTACCCTTCTTGGGGATTGAGGTGAAGATTGGCCTTTTCCAGTCCCGTGACCACTGCTGGGTCTTCCAGAGTTGCTAACATAATGAATGTAAAACCTTGATGGCATCATCCTTTAGGGATTTGAATAATTCTGCTGGAATTTCATTGCATCTACTAGCTTTATTAACGCAGTGCTTCTTAAGGCCCACTTGGCTTTGCACTCCAGAATGTCAAGATATTTCCTATTAACTCATTAATAAAGATTTAAGATAGAGATATAACCTACCTTTCTAATTTTTAAACTATTGTTTCTCTTTTCTAGGGTAATATTAATAATAAAAACCTCAAGCTAGAAACCAGTCTTTCATTGAAGGAAGAGAAAAAGTAATCATGAGAATTCTTTACATCCTGACCTAAGGACAGACAGCCTTTCCATTCTTACCCTGGAGTCCTGTATTAGTTTGCTAGGGCTGCAATAACAAATAGTAGACTGGGTTGGCTTTAACAGTAGACATTTATTTTCTCACAGTTCTGGAGACTAGAAGTCCAAAATCAAGGTGCTGACAGGTCTGGAGTCTTCTGAAGGAGATCTGCAATTCTCCTTGTTTTGCTAACGGTCACCTTTTTCTTGTGTCCTCACATGGTCTTTGTCTCTATAAACACACATGTTCTGGGTATCTCTCTGCATGTCCATTTTTTTTCTTCCTGTAATATGACATCAGTCATATTAAATTAGGGCTGACCCTAACACCCTTATTTGAACTTAATCACCTCTTTAAGATTCTGTCTCTAGTAAGTCACATTCTAAGTCATATTCAACATGAATTTTGCAGGGATGATTCAGCTGATAACAAGGCCTTTCAAAATCTCACCATGTTCATTTGTAATATCAATGCCATGTGCGCGTGTGCTAAGTCACTTCAGTTGTGTCTGGCTCTGCAATGCTATGGACTGCAGCCTGCCAGGCTCCTCTGTCCATAGGATTCTCCAGGCAAGAGTACTGGAGTAGGTTGCCATTTCCTCCTCCAGGGGATCTTCCTGACCCAGGGATCAAAGCCACATTTCTTATGTCTCCTGCATTGGCAGGCAGGTTCTGTACCACGAGTACCACCTGGGAAGCCATATTAACTGCTTAAAATGGTTTGAAATCTAGAAAAAACTTCGGTGTTGATGCAAAAGCTAAGCCCTCGAAGTTCATGCAGTTAATTACAAAGCTACACTTTGCAAATAGTCTGTAGCCAAACATTTCTAACCATTGAGTCTTGCACCCTAATTGCCCAGACATGTGCCCTCCAATATGGCAGCCACATGTGGCTAGTGAACACTTGGAATGACTGGTCCAAATTGAGATGTCAGTCTAAATTACCGAATTTCAAAGCATTATTAAGGGAAAAATAAGTCAACTAAGTAATTTTTGTATTGATTACATGTGCAAATATTTTGGATATGTAGATTATTAATTTAATGTTTCTTATTTTTTATAATTATGGTTACTAAAAAAGTTTAAAATTACATTGTGGCTAGAATTATATTTTATTGGTTAGGGCTTTCCCAAATGCAGGTATGTATCATCTGAATTAAGACTTGCTTTGAGTCTTAGACTTCCAATTTATAATTCATCAAAAATCCCTTCTTTTCGCATCCCCACTAATTTACCCAGGGACAGAATTCTAGCACTTTGTCCAGTCCTTAACACATATTTCAAACCTAAGAGACACTTGCCATTTGTTGGGAAGACAATCTGTAATGCTAACTTAACAAATTCAACTGAAATGTATTTATTGAAATTCCAAGTGATGAGTAATCCCATTGCCTTTCATCTTTCCCCTGAGAGAAAAAAAGTAGTTGACAAATATACTCTCATTTCTCACTTACTAGTAGTACTAAAAAGTCTTATGTTCTTATTTCACCAAAACACTAGAACCGAGATTTATCAGGGTTTCTAAAAATTTTAAAGTGATTATTTTATATACACACAGCTGCTAGATCCTATGGTGGAATGTGTGTTTTGGCTTGTTTTTAAAATGTTGATGAGTTGACAGGAAAAACTATAGATAGTATTTGAAGATCAAGAATTTATCACTTTTTCAGGAACATAAAATATGGTTAACATTCACACCTTTTAGAAGTATTTATTTTCCATTTTTAAAATAACATTATTGTTGGGTGTAATTTAGAGTGCTAGAACTTGAATCCCCAACAGGGACTGACACATTTACAGACTGAAAGCATTAAAAAATTCCTGTTTGCTATACCTTGGTTTAAGCTCTTTCATATAGCTGGAAAGTGGACAGGGGGAAAAAATGCTCAATTTGCACAGTGAATGATTAAAGGAAAGATAAAAGCTAATAGCCCTGTTACTTAACCAATTTTCTAATTTTCAAAGCTAATTGGGCTATGTTAAACTGCCCCTCCCAGTTGGATCTACCTGATATATAGGAAAGCAAAAAGGAACCCTTCCTCCAAATCCTTAACCTTAATTGCAAATTTTATTGTTTATATTCATATAAGGGGAAATGTAAATAAATTAATTGTTTCTCAACTACATTAAGTTCTATCATTTTTTGACTTGTGAGCATTATAACTCACTTTCAATGGATATAATTTTATATCCTAAGTATGATGTCAAGCATACCTTCTAAATACCTTAAACTGAATAAGTTATACTTACCATCAACACTTAAGATGTAAAATTTTTCTCTAAAACTTGCATTTTATAGTTAAGTTTGTAAAAAATCCTATTTTAGCAAGCTTGATTATATCAACTGTTAAAACTTTATTTTACAAGCAATAGGAATTGGATCAAATAATTATTATAATCCAGAGGAATTATTTTATAACCATAGCAAATGCCATTATACACACTGCCAATACAGATTTAATAGACAATACTGAACTGTACAAGAGTTATTTATTTTTCCTTAATCTCAAAGCTATTTTAGTAATACAAAAAGCCATATTAACATTTCTCCATTAGAAAACAATGTGATGTACAAAACTTTGGATGAAAAGATATATGTCAAATTTCACTTAATCATTTGGTGGAAAATCCACCACTCCATCGATACCACCCAAAGTGTTTTAGGCAATGATTAAAATCAAAGTAAGCATCTTAATAAACTCCAGCTGTTAAAAAAAAAACAGACCTAGCAATATAGTTGGCTACATATTTTTGACTACTCAGGGTTACTTTTTAAAATCCATTTTTTTCTGAGTCCTACCACATACCAAGTGCTGTACTTGTCCAAGTAGGTGTTTGAGGAAAAGTTGGTAAGGTAGAAGACCCCATAAAGCAGTCCTTTGGTTACCATATTTGACTTTTAACTTTTAAACATCCTCCAAGATCAAGGAACCCCAACTAAAAGTACACATTCTTCCAAGTGTTATTTGATTTTATTAGTGGGGAGGGTGTTGGTAAAGAGGTCATGAACTATTGTTTATAATCCATTATTCCAATTAAAAGCACATATCAGAAACTAATTTGTTATTTTTCTAATGAGTTTAAGATTTGGCATTCAGTTATTACCAACGTGGTTCACCCTACAAGGCACACTGCTCAAAAACAGCAAAGCAGGTATGCATAAATGCTTTTCTTTGCATTTAGTGAAGTAATATTTGATACCCATATTTATCTTAAAATTCAGTTGTTTAAGGTCCAGTGAAGAAAATAAATCCAGTTATGGGGTGGTAAAGAGCAAAGAAGGTTAACTAGTAAATTATTACTATACAAAGAAATTTTATTCTCTATCTTTTCCTTTGAATAACAAGATACTAACACACTATTTTCATTTTAAAAAAAAAATGCTTGCAACTATTGAACTGAGGCAAGTACAAAGGCCCATAAACCAACAGTATCATCCATTCATCACCATTACTTCTTTACATTAAGCTTGTTCTCCTAAAGTATAATGCATACTCTAAGCTATAACTTGGAAATTAGCCAAGCACTAAGCAATTACAATGGCAGGTAATACACCATCAGTTTTTAAAACACTTTCAGTCATTTTTCATGACCCACCTCCAGTTTGAATTGAATATATTCTCAGTATAAATTTGTTTTGGGATCTGCATGACAAAAAAAATGTAGTTTTATGACATTTTCACATAAGACATTTAAATAGTCTTCAGTTCATACCACTTCTGTTTTAAATGATTCATCCTGACATGCTATATATAACTACAATAAAAATAACTTCAATTTTAAAAGAAAATTAAATGCAGATAAATGTTAACAGATTTGACATAGAATGTTGTAAGATATTCCTGTACGGAATCTGATACTAATGATTATAAATTTCCAAGTTTGAAAAATTTCAGATTAAAAACCACAAGAAAATTTACTCTTGATGGCATGCAAGATCTTTTTCAAAATGAAACCAGGACCTCAAAGTCTCAGTATTTTATCAGAACATAAAGAAACACAACAAATTTGTACATTTTATTCACATTTATTTTTCGCTTTTAGTGTGCTCACAGAAAATTAGAACACCTTAAGCAGGAGTTTAATAGCAATTTTTGTAAGCAAAGTTACATTCCATCTCTAAGTCAAATTGGTCAAAGCTTCTCCAGTATTTACAAAACATGATAGACAAGATGCTACACAAAACCATTGCATCTGAAGATTTTTTCCTTATTCTCAAAGACGACTGGAAAAGAAAGCATTGTCTGCTGTAATCAAAAACATACCACAGTATAAACAGTAACCATTCCACTTATCACAGCTTGGTTGAGTTTAAAATTTGTGTTTAAAAGGTCCAAGATGACTGCAGTTTTACAAAAATGGGCAGGGTGGAAAGTTGCAAACTTCATGTGCTTCTGGATATCAAGATTTGTTTTTATACAATAGTCACAGTTAAAAACACCCTGCTGGTAATACATAATTACACTTTATTAAGGTCATAAACCAGCAATAAACAATAAAGCCTATACAACTTGTAGTTCTACTTAATCACTGACTGGTACAGCTAACATGAGATAAGTGAAAAGTTCCTATGGTTTAAATGAACTCCTAAGACTATGATCTTTTTAAAAATCTGGGTATCGGTGTTTTTTTTTTTTCTTTCCTTCTTAGTCAAGACTTGTAGTGTTGTAAACCTGCCTCACAAAATACATCGTAATAACTTTTCTTAAAAAAAAAAAAAAAAGACTAAGCCTTTACACTATCATTTCTAGTGGTACATTACCTTGGCAATGCTATGCACCACTTAAATTTCTCCATGGTGGACCCTATCACTTCATCTGATATCCCTTTTTGACCCACCCATCTCCTTCATATATGGGCATGTCCATAGATTGACAAAGAAAGTTTACAATTTTGAATAAAGATGCAAAGTATGCAAAAAACATTAATACTGATGCAAAAAATAAAAATAAAAGAGAAACAAGGCAGAGGAAGGTATTTAAGCTCTCCTCGACCTGTTGGAATGGTGGTAACAGAATGATCTGAGATGGGATCTGTGGGGAGTGGGTTAAAAACAAAATTTGTTGTTTAAAAAAAAGTAAAATAAAAAAAGACATCTTTAAAATCAATCCCTGGTTGTAGACAAGTTCTCCAAAACCAGTACCTGGCACCACTCCAACAAACAAACCGGGGGAGAAAAGTTCTTCGATTATCTCAAAAAATCTTGCCCTTTTACTCTGCTGCCTCCGCTGGGGGCGCTTCTGGACTGCACTCGGGCTGGGCCTCCTGTGAGGGGGCTGCGCAGGCTGACGACGCCGGGGCGGCCGCCGCCTCCTCCGCGGGGGCCGCCTCCTGCTCTGGGGGCACGTCGGCCGCAGCGGCGCCCCCAGAGGCCTCGTCCTTGCCGCCCTCGGCGGAGGCGCCGGCGGCCCCTTCGGCCTCACCGCCCTCTCCTGCCTCCTTCTTGTTCTTCTTGAAGGAGAAGCCGCTCAGCTTGAAAGACTTCTTGAAGGAAAAGCGCTTCTTTTTTTTTTTCGGGGTCTCGTTGCTGGGCGAGGGCGTGGCCCCGTCCTCAGCCTTCGGCGAAGACGTCGAGGAGGCGGCAGAGGCGGCCTCCCCCTCGGCGGCCGTGGGTGAGCCGGGCTCGGCGGCCTCGCCCTCCACGGGGGCCTCCTTCTCCGCGGGGCTGGCCCCGGCGTCGGGGGCAGCGGCGGCCGGCTCATCCTTCTCGGCCGCGGCGGGCGACGCCGCCCCGCTCCCGGCGGCCGCGGGCTCCTCCTTGTCGGCAGCCGGGGCGCTGCCGTTGGCCTGCAGCTCCTCCTTGGCGCCGGGCTCGGCGGCCGCGGGAGAAGCGTCGCCGTTTACCTTCACGTGGCCATTTTCCTGCGGGGCAGAGAAAGCGGGAGGTCACTGAGGGGGCCCGAGCCTGTCATCCCCGCCCCCACTTCTGGACCGGGAGGGTCCACCGTCCCTCCGGGCCCCTCAGGTTTTGCGGATCCTCTTCCTTATGAGGAGGCGGTGTTGGATGCCCAGACGAGAGTTCCTCGAAGACCTGAGGGTAGTGGTGTTTGGGGTGCCTAAAGGCACTGCGGGGGCCTCTACCACGGAACAAATTCCGAGGCCTTAAGAGGGCCGAGTCCGAAACGTGGAAAGCAAAGGGTAACCCATTCCAACCTTTAGGATAAGAGTCACGTAATAAATGATACACCAAACGCCCGTTGGAAGGAGACACAGAACCAGAGCCAGTGATCCGTGCCTAGGTTACACGTCCCCCTTTCCCCCTAAACTCTAAAGGCCTCTTGAAAACACCAAGAACTCCCAGGGGGGGGGATCCCAGCGTTCCAGTCCGAAGCGCCTGGACTGCGCGCGCAAAGGCTCTACGCCCCAAAGACCTGGGGTCGGCAGGGGGCGCTGCGCCTCCACCAGCTGAGCTTGGCGCAGGCAGGCGCGGAGGGGCGGGGACGCCGGGCCACCCCGCCCTGCCCGGCCGGGCCCTGCCCGCTGGCCGAGGCGCCCCCGAGCCCGGATAGCGCAGCCCCAGAGTCCGCAAACAAAGCTCAGGTGGCATCCCGGTCGGCATAAAACCAACGAGACAGGGGGAAAATCATTATTTCAGAGGTCTTGTCTCTGCTTCCACGCCCACCTTTGCCTGTGATTCTGCGAAGCCCGGGCGCGCCCCGGCGGCTCATTTTGCATTTTTAACGGGTTCAAAGCCTCTTGGCAGAGCCTGCCTTTCCTATTAGGTTAGGGCAGGCGAAGCAACACGGTCTCTGCTCTAGGAAAAGAGGCGTGGTGGTTGCCCGGTGTTTGTGAAGCAGCCACCCTTGGCCGACCTCTCGCGCCCACCCAACTGTGGCCATCTGCCTGGGTTCGGGCAGCGCCGGGGCAGCCCCCGCAGTGGTCCAGGCGCCACGCACACCAACAATCTCGACTGAAACGCACGAACTGCCTCCTGTTGACCATCTGGACATGTTCTTCAAGGACCCACAGTCTTCCCACCCTAGGGAGACCATTTAAAAGTCAGATGGGTGTGTAATTCCACAGACAACTACGAATAAAGACTTAGAACAGTGAGAAAAGCCGATCGAAAGGTAGTGAAACCTGCCCACCTCCAGCCAGCCAGCAACCTTTCCAAGAACCCAGGTCACGCCACCTCGGTATACAATAAGACAGCTCTCCTTCCCTCCTCAGCCTTTCTTCACCGCCATCCCTACTGCGCTCCCCCCCCCCCTTCTCTACCCACCCCCCAACACAATCACACCAGTTCAGAAATCCTGAAGGCGACCCAGTCTCGACAACAAACTCGAGAGCCACCCAGACACCTTTGTGCCCACCAAGCACAAATGCAACCTGGCTGGGGGTGGGGGTGTGGGGTAGCACCTAGCTAGTCAGGTTCTGCCAAGCTCCAAACACGCCATTTTAAACGATTTATCACTTCTTTCCTCCCGTCTACACAAGAATTCGCCAGGATTCTCTGGGAACCATTACTTTGGGAGTCAGGGGAGACCCCACCTATGAGAAATTGACAATTTGGCTATCGCTTTCCATTCAACTTTCAGGCTGGAATCTGGCCACGCTTCTCTCCGCCGAATGCGCCTCGGGCATGACCAAGGAGGGAAGGGGAAGCGCCGGGACTAGAGAAAGACACCAAATAAATGACCAGAACCACAGGTAGAATTTACCTGCCCATTCGCTTTAGAAGGCGACGAGGCCACAGCCGCCTCCCCGGGCCTCTCCGTGGTGGCTTCTCCCTTCGCGGCGGTCTTGGAGAACTGGGCACCCATGCTGGCTTCTTCAACAAAGAAACTCAACAGATCCAAGGGGGGAACAAAGAGCTTCGGGTTGGTGTAACGACGGGGCAAGCGGCAGCAGCAGCGGCAGCAGCGGCGGCGGCAGCAGCAGCAGCACACACACCGGAGGGAGGGGGGAGTGGGGGTGGTGAAGAGGACAGAACAGAACCGATTAAATACACGCCGGATAAAAAAATTTTAGTCGTAGAGATCAAAAAGCAGCAGCGCAGGAGGGAGGGGAAAAGGGTGGAAAAGTCGAGCACAAAAAAAGGAGCCCAAGTGTAGTTTTTTAAAAAAAAGAAGTAATAAAAAAATCCCAGATTTGTAGCCGCACTGTAGACAAGAGGAAAATGGAGAAATCTCCCTGGTTGCTAATAAGATGCGGGGTCCAACGCCCAAGTGCACAGATGAATGGGCTCGCGGGCGCTGACGCGGCCCCCGCGCTCACCGGCCAATCCGCGCGCCGCACACAAAGCAGGGGGCGGGGCCTGTGCGCCCGGCGAACAATGGAGCCGCGCTTTGCAAACGGTTTGAAAATCAGCCTCAGACCGAGAATTAATGTCCTCCAAATAAATAAATCAATTAAAAAATACATGCCTTTCGCCTCCCTCTGCTTGAAAATAATAATGCAGTACTGGATTGGCTTGCTTTGTTTGTAATTAATTAATGCGGGGGGGGGGTACTTGTGGATGAGGGCGGAGAAAGCGTTAACTTGACTCGCTTTGGCTCTAGTCGGTCTATAACCGTGTCTGTCTCCTTCCACTCCCTCCCCTCCCCCATCTTTCCGTGTGTTTATGTGTATGTGTGTGTATGTACGCAAGTTTTTAAGACAATGGTTGAGATTTGGGTGCAGCATGTTTTCTGTGTCTATTCTATATAGGTTTCACAGATCTTGCACAGGGTTTGTTCTTCTAACTGTTGCAAATGTGAAATCGCCCCAAATCGAAAGGTATTTAAACCAAGAAGATCGAATTTCATCAAAAGAGATCGCGAGTTAGAATTAGGTCTGTAGGCCAGATGTGGAAAATGCAAAACCAGCAAGCAGACGAAGCCACACTCCCTTCTCTATCCCACATTGACATGAAATAAAATATTTCGAGATTGGCCTCTGCGCTCAAAAACCCTCGCCCCTCCCCCATCCCCTATGAGTGATTTCCACCCCCCCCCAACACACACACACACAACAATATAAAGTGAGAATCATGAACAAAAGGTCGAAAAGGCTTGCATTTTATCATTGTATGAAATGACGGTTTTCCTCTATGGTGAAATGAGACACAGTCTAGAGTGTGCGAATCCATATTTACAGTTGGGATGAGATTCGCGTCGCTATGAATCTTTTTCAGTCTACTGCCAGGATCAGATGGACTCTTTTTCTGAACGTGTGTGAATGTGCAAGCAAGCGAGTGGGCTCCTAGAAGGAAGGGAGGCAGCAGCAATGAAATTCTGAACAACCGGATTGATTATTACAATGTCTAAGGAGAAATTGCATATTGAGAAATAGCAAGAAGATCCCTGAACGCTCCAAGCCTAACTTGGGTTAGAGAAAAAGCTTCTATAAGGAAACCCAGGGTATCTCCAACGGCACCTCTTGTCGCGGAAATACCAGACGCTATTTGTGCGTGAAAGACAGCGCGCTGATTTAAATAATGGAGGGGGAGAAGGTAGGGGCAAAAATCAACGATACATACACTTATACATATTCTTATAAGCATTCTCCTACCACCTACATTTTTGCTCCCAAAGTTTTCACTCGTGTCCAAATCAGACTACCTTTTTTCGTTTACATTTAGTGATCCTGAAAAGAATAACCTTTCGTTTATGGAGGTGAGAAGCAGTCGAAAGAATGGTTCATTTCTCCTGGTGCTGGCTCTGAATTCTCAGTTTTATTTTTCTGCTCATTGTAGGGAAATGGGTCACACTCTAGAGTGAAAAAGACGGTTGGTTCAAGCCAATAACTCTTTGTTCAAGTATTGCTTTGAAAGTCACCAAGTTGCAGATCTTTACAAGCTTAGTCTTCTCACTGTCCACTTCTTCAGATGCATCATTATTCCATCACGAAGTCATACTCCCCAGAGCCGACGTTAAGGCGTTTCCGTCGAGGTCTATCTTGCCAAACATGTTATCACCCTTAAGGGAGCCCGCTGGCCTGGCTCAAGACCCCAGCCGCCGCGATGGATACGAATCCCTTGTAATAGCGGAGTTCCAACTCGAAAAGCAAACTGGTTGATTCAAAAACCACCATCCAGGCGATTCTCAATAGCTCTTTTAAACCGTTGATATCCACCCACCCTCAACGTGAATCATGCCCCTTTCTTCTGCATCCCCCTCCTGGTTAAACTTGGGGTGATTGCTAGCTAGCTGTCGGATTTTTTTCCAGACGTGTTCTTAGCCCTCCATTTGGGGGCTGCTTTTATTGCTCCTTTGTTACCAGGCTGCCGTGTAGCTTTCCCCCCTTTTCTTTCTCGAATGCCTATTTGCCTAGTATCGGCCTGTCTCCTAGACAACGGCCGGGGAAGATTCGGAGCCCTGGGCGGGGGGAGGGGGAAGGGGCGGAGCCAGCGAGAGGGTGGGCAGGGAGGTGGTAGAAGGGAAAGAGATGCAGAGCGAGAGACAGGGAGACAGACAGGGAAGCAGATGGCCGATCGAGGGGGCGGGGCCCGGGCGGGGCGTGGGGGGACCCCGAGCGTCGCGAGCGCGACGGAGCCAATCAATTCCCTCAGCTGCATCGGGGCTAGAAAACAAGTGTAAACACGTAGATTCCCTCGCCTGGAGCAGTCGGGTAGTTTAGTGTAGAAACGCGTTTTCTTAAATAGGAAAGCGCATTTTTAGTGCAGGTTGGAAAGCAGCATGCCCCAGTAACTGGCAGGGGGAGGCAGTTTGCGGGACGCTGCCGGAGGTGGCGGTTGCGGAGGGCTGCGCCAGGGTCTCCTCAGACTCCCCCGGCGTCGGGCCAGACGGGGGGTGGGGGTGGGGGGGAAGCCCGGAATGCTCGAGAGGGTGAAGGCGGAGGAAGGAAGGGCTGGGAAATGGGAAGAGGTCGCTCTGTCTCGGAAACTACATAATGGCTGGGAAGGACTGCCAAACAAGACTGAAACCGGTAGGAAGTTGTACAATGTAAGTACACAGTTCTCAGGAGTTCGGTGTTCACACACCCAGAGCTAAATATTTCAATCCACCTCTAAGTAAAAAAAAAAAGATAATTTATATAAATAAGCCTAAGGAACCCAAGTGGTCATAGTGAAAATGTAAAACTGGTAACCAACTCACCTGGAATACAAATTCTTATTTGCATTTTTAAACCACACATTAGGATATTTCTAAGATGTTAACGATCTGTATATAGTTTTCTCCAGAAGAACGCTTTATTTTATTTAAAATATCTCAAAGTTATTTTTTTTCCCTTTTGTTAACAGTAGAAGGAATTTTTAAAGATGGTTCCACAGATTCTTAAGGGACTACTGTATGCTGCACATACTGATGCAGGCCTTGTTTTCCCATCAGTGAACAAGAGAGACTAAGTTCCTGGCCTCAAGGTGCTCACTTCCCACGCCGTCCCCCCACCACTTACCCCCCCACCCTCCGCTGCTTGCAGGTTCTTAGTTCCTCACAACGTAGTGGAAGGGCAGAGCCCTAACCACTGGTTTTGTTGTTGTTGAGTTGCTAAATCATTTCCAACTCTTTGGGACCCTATGGACTGCGGAATGCCAGCCTTCCCTGTCCTTCACTATTTCCCTGAGTTTGCTCAGACTCATGTCCATTGTGTCTGGTGATGCCATTCAAGCATCTCATCCTCTGTAGGCCACTTCTCCTCCTGCCCTCAATCTTTCCCAGCATCAGGGTCTTTTTCAGTGAGTCAGTTCTTCACATCAGGTGACCAAATTATCAGAGATTCAGCTTCAGCATCAGTCCTTCCAATGAATATTCAGGGTTTATTTCCTTTAGGATTGACTGGTTTGATCTTCTTGCTGTCCAAGAGACTTTTAAGAGTCTTCCCCAGCACTACAGTCTGAAAGCATTAATCCTTTGGCACTCAGCCTTCTTTATAGTCTGACTCTGTACCGCCAGCCAAGGAATTCCCAAGGAGCTTGCATTTTAGTAGATAGTCTGCTTTAGAGGAAGTGGATTATCTAGTTTCATCTCTTCTCTTGGGAGATGAAGAAACAGTCCCAGATATTGTCAGTTGGTAGAACCAGGAATAGAGCTCACCATCTTGATGATTACAAGTCTCCAGCTTCTTCCACTACTTCTGGTGCTTACCTTCTTTTGATGGCACAGATTTATTGGTAGGCTGCTTATTCATTCCCAAATTACTTAATTCAGCTCCTGCTGAGTACCTGGAAGGTGCTAGACATCAGCTGACACCCCTGACACCAGGGAAGAGGATGAACATGTCTGTCCTCACTTGTAACTTCCACTTCACATTATTATCTCTTAAAACTTCTTAGAATATGAAGAAAGAGAACAAAGGATGGGATTATGTGTGGTTAAAAAAAAATAAAATAGATGAGGGCCACTTTCTAGATTACAAATTAAATATACCTTTTTCATTTGACATTCATTCAGCATTCATTCAACATTCATTCATTCAGAAAATAGAAGATTCCACTGTATAGTGTTATGCTCTGTTTTTCATCTTTTTTATATTATCTGAACTTTAATTCCATTAGTTTGGAGTATAGCATGGAGCAAAGCAGACACAGCCTCTCATTCATTCAATAGGTATTTTTTGAGTTCTATCAGTGCTAGGCATGTGAAACATATCAATGAACAAAAGAGACAAGAAATCTTTATGGAGCTTACATTTTAGATTAGGGAGAAAAACAAAATTTAACAAATATAAGTAAGCAGTTTATCTTTTTTACCTTTTCATGCTGTTCATTGGGTTCTTGAAGCAAGAATGCTGGAATGGTTTGCCATTCCCTTCCCCAGTGAAAGAGAAGAGTGAAAAAGCTAGGTTGATAACATTCAAAAAACTAAGATCATGGCAGCCTGTCCCATCACTTCATGGCAAAAAGATGGGGGGAAAAGTGGAAGCAGTGACACGTTTGATTTTCTTGGACTTCAAAATCACTGCAGATGGTGACTGCAGTCATGGAATTAAGACACTTGCTCCTTGGAAGAAAAGCTATGACAACCCTAGACAGTGTAACTAAAAAGCAGAGACATCACTTTGCCAACAAAGGTCTACACAGTCAAAGCTAGGTTTTTTTTACAGTAGTCCTGTACAGATGTGAGAGTTGGATCATAAGAAGGCTGGGCACTGAAGAATTGTTACCTTTGAATTGTGGTGCTATACAGTACTCTTGAGAGTTCCTTGGACAGCAAGGAGATCAAACCAGTCAATCCTAAAAGAAATCAACCTGAATATTCATTGGAAGGACTGAGGCTGAAGCTCCAATTCTCTGGTCACCTGATGGGAAGA